TGGGGACCTGCCCTGAGCCACATCCAGGGGGACACACAGCCCCCCACGGCACAGACCCACGGACACCTGCATTGCAGAGCCCCCTGCAACAGAGAAGGGGAAGGGGGGGGCCACAGGGGGTTGCCTTGACCTGCAGTGACCTCCCAACAAGCCCCCCACGGCACAGATGCCTGGGCACCCCAAAAACCAAGGTCCTCATCATGGTGCCAGCTTGTCCCCAGTGCGGTGCGGCCCTTTGTGGGGTGCAGGGTCCCCACAACAACACTCCCTTTATACCCAAACAAGGCCCCCCCAGATGGACAGGGTTGGGGTCCTGGCAGAGCTGGGGGTGACCCTGAGAAGCCCTGGCCATGTCACTGGGGGCTGGAGCCAGCTGGGAGCTGCCCCCCCAAGCTGGGAGAGAAGGAAGAGCAAACCCTGAGGGGGACGAGCCCCCCCGGGCCGGCACCATCGGTTTCACTTCTTTCCTCTAAGCAAATCGAGGGGGTCTGGGGCGGGCACCTCCGGCACCTTCCGGCCCCGGGGGGCACGGGCGTGTCCCCACCACGCCGGGGGGACCGTGGGAGCCCCTGCCACACCCCATGGAAGTCCAGCCCTCCTGCCAATGATTGACACCTGTCAATCATCCACCTACCCAGCCCCTCTCTGCTCATCCCGGCCACAGCCCCCAGGGCGATGGGATGGACCAGGGACCTCCAAGAGCCGTCGACCTCAAACCCTGACCCCTCCACGCTCAGGGGCAGCCAGACTCACCGCTGGGCTTGCACATCCGGATCTGGCTTTGGCACTGGACGACAGGGTGCAGGGGGGGGGGGCGGCGGCCGCTGGCAGCGACTCTGAGGTAGTTTTGGTGGCGAGGTCCGGGGAGGCAGGAGGCGAGGACGAGGAGGAGGAGGAGGAGAACTGCGTCTGGCAGCGGAGCTGCGTCAGGGACTGGGGCATGCCCTGGTAGTGTCGCGTGGCGCTGAGGAGGTCGTTCAGGATCTGCAGGATGGTGCCGATGTCCCGCCGCGGCCGCCCGCTGCTGTCCTGGCAGTTGGGGTGCAAAGTGCCTGCAGGGGGGGCAGAGGTGGGTGTGAGACGAGCAGCCCCCCCCCAGATCCACAGCCCCACCATCCCCATACCCCCTAGACCCACAGCCCCCCAGGAGGCTCAGCCCCACGTACCGGAGAAGGTCCCTGAGAAGACCCCGGGCGCGTGGTTGACGAAGCTCTCGATGACCGCCCCGGGCTTGCGGGATCGGGCCGAGGGGGCCGGGCTGCTGCCCGGGGAGCTGCTGCTGCGGGAGCCACAGTCCACCTGGGAGGGGAGAAAAGTGGGATCAGCCTCTGGGAAGGGGTCTATGGGGGGCACACAGCCCTGCTCCTGCCCTTCTGCCTCCTCCCAAACAGCCGGGTCAGGGGCTCCCAGGCAGGGAGCAGGGTGCAGCAGGCACCCCCAGCCCCAATTTACTGGGACACAAGGAGCTATGGCTGTCCCACCCTTCTGTGCACCAGTGTCCCCGGCCCTGGGGGCCCCAACAAGCCTGCCCCACCCTGCTGTGCTGCGTGAGGGGAAAAGGGAAGCAGCAGAAGCTCCTGTCCACTCTTGGGGACAGGCAGGGTGTGGGACAGGCAGGGTAAGAGCCTGGGTTACACCCTGTCCCTGAGTTCCTCCCCGGGACCTGGGGACATTCTGGAGGCCAGACTGGTGGACAACCCTGTTCCACGCATGGGGAAACTGACGCAGGGACAGGCATTGCCACGGCAGGGCCGGGAAGTTCACAGCTTGGCTTCCCCGCCCCAAAAACCCCGGGACCCCCCCAAAGCCTCACCTCTGAGCAGGAGGAGACCACGCTGCTGTTCACCGTCTGCGTGCTGGCCCCGTGCGAGCGGAACATCCCGGCGGTGATGGGCGCGGGGTGGGGGGCGTTACAGTACACGGGGGGGGCCGGCGTGGCGGGCGTGGGGCTGGGGGCCGGGCTCTGCTGGGGGCACGTGGGCACCACGGGGATGCGGGCGAAGCCGGAGCCGGCGGCACCGTGCAGCGTCCGGCAGTGGGGGCTGGCGCTGGCCCCCGCCTCGCCCCGGCTGGCGATGAGGTGCCGGTGCTGGAGCTGCCCCGTGCTCTGCTGAGCCGCCAACTGCAGCTGCACGAACATCATGTGGTCCCCCACGCGCAGGGCCAGGGTCAGCGGGGACCGGCCCGACAAGAAGTCATTGACCTGCAGAGAGAAGGGACCCCCTTGAGCTGTGGCGCTCGGTGAGACCAGGCAGAGACCCCCCCCACCCCGGTGCCAAGGAGGGGGATGGTGGTTGCCCCCCTTGGGGCCAAGCAGGGGGCGGTGGTTGCCCCCACAGGTCTCCTGCAGCCATAGGGACGGGTCATTGGGGCAGGGAAGGGGTGACACCCCCCACAGCCCCTCAGCCGTGCCAGGCTGGCGGAAGAGCTTGGCTGCTGTCCCCGTACGACCCCGTTCCAGTGCCAGCTCTGTCAGCTGACGGTGCCGGGGGGGTATTTTTCTTCCTTCTGCCCTTCCTGCCCTTTATTCCACAGCAGCAAGATGCCCTCCCTGCCTGGCCACCCTCCCCAGCACTGATCCCAGCAGCTCCCAGTGGGCAGGGACAGGCCCCACACCCGGCCCCGGGGCCAGCACTGCTGTTCTGGCCAGCCCAGTGCCCGGGGAGGGGGTGCCCCTGCAGGCACGGGGAGAACGGGAGGGGGCAGGTGAGGACACGCTGGGTCCTTGCATGCCCACCACCGTGACTCAGGGCTGCCAGGCAGGGAAGTGCAGCCCACCTGCCCCCCTTTCCCCCCACCGAGGGCAGACTGGAGGGGGGGCAGGCCCTGCCCAGCCCGGAGGCTCCAGCTCCGGCAGGTGATGGAGCAGCTGCAGCGCAGAGACAAGAGCTGGGGCCTGACCCTGCCCAGGCCGCAGCTGTGGGGGGGCCCCCCAATCCCCACCACCTGCCGCCCCCCAGCACACACCGCTCAGCCCCCACGACACATAAATCACTTGGCAGCTGTGCCAGGGAACAGGGGAGCCCCCGACACCCTGGCGGGGCTGGGGCAGCCATGACCCCCCCCTGGGCACCCCCTGCCCTGCGAGGGGGGCTGCGCCTCTCGCCCCCGCCAGCCCGGGGCTCACGTGGGGCTGTGGGCAGGACCCGGGGTCAGGGCTAATGGGGATGACGCCACCCCCCAGCCGCGCTGTTCCAGGGCACAGCAGGGCCCGGCTTTCCCAGCCCGTCACGTGCGGTGCCGCGCTCGGCTCCCGACGTCACCCACCCACACCCCACGGCACCTTCGGGGCGCAGCCGTCGCCCGTGGCGGGACGAGGCGAAGGATCCCTGGCAGCCCCACCACCCCCCTGCCCCCAGCGCCGCAGAGAGGGGCCCCCCCGGCCCCGGCCCCGCTCCCCCGCTGCCGCGGAGGCCGGTTCTGAGAAGCCGTGGGAAAAGCAGCTTTAAAAATACCAGCAGCAAAGCCCCGAGCGTGTCAGGCGGAGGCTGCAGAGGAAGGGGTGGGCGGGAAGGAGACACTGCAGCTCTGGACAGGGAGGTTACGGGGCGAGGGGGTGGGAGAGGACAGCGGGCACGCACATGGGCATGCGTGTGCACACGCGTGTGCGCGCACAGGGCACCTGTGCACAGGAAAGCGTCACCCCCGCCCCCGTCCTGCCCCGGTTCCCCTGCCCACAGCAGCCTGCGTGGCCTCATGCCAGGCTGGCAGCCCCGTCCTCACTGCTCAGCCACGACCACCGGCCACGTCCAGAGCTCCAGCCACCTCCTGCCCCTGCATGGGGCTGCTGGGCCATCCCACCCCTGCTGCTGCTCTCAGAGTCAGTGTAGGGGGGATATTTCACACAGGGACCCCCCACACCAGGTCCACACACCACTTGGCCATGCTTGGGGAAGGGGACCAGTCCTCTCTAGTCCCCATCCTGTTCCCACCACGCTCCTCAGTGGGGTCTCTCACAGCCTCCCGGCCCCACCTCACACACAGGGGGAGGCAGCAGGGCAGGACCCCCGCGCCAGCCCCGCCATCCTGCCCCAGCCCTGGCTCCGCACCCCGGCGTTCCCGGGGGAGCCCCGCGCACGTCCCCGGGGCCCTCTGACGTCAGTGGCCTCCCGCTCCCTGTGACTCACCCCGGCCTGCCCTGCCTGACCCCTCGCCAGCGTCGGGAGAAACCAGAGCACCCCAACCCCGCCAAACCCGCGCTGCCGGCGCTTCCCAGCGGCACCAAGAACCACCCCCTCGGTCCCCTGGCAAGGGGGTCCCAGGGCCCCCCGCAGCACCCCCGGGGCTGGGCCGTGGCCCTGAGCCGGCCGGGTCCCCGCGGCGCCCCAGCTCCGGGGCTCCCAGCACCCGCCCCCACGCCGCTGCCAACCCCCCCCCCCGGCGAAACCAGCCCGCTCCAATGCAAACACGTCCCACCCAGCCGCCCGCTCGGCCGCCCACGCCGGGAGGACCCCGTCCCTCCCAGCCAGCTCTGCCGTGGGGGCCGGCACAGCCCCGCCGAGGGGGCTGGGACCGCTGGGCCCCGCAGAGCCCCCACACCCAGGAGCCCCCCCAAGGACCCTGCCAAGCTCTGGGGGGCTCAGCTGCACCGTGCCGGGCTTGGGGCCCGCAGGGATGGGGCAAAGTGTCTCCCGGCTGCTTCTCAGAAACGCAGATGACTCAGAGAACGCTGCATTCCCGCCTCGCTCCGACGCCTGGCCCCGCGTCACCCCGGCCCCCAGCCCCAGACACCTCCAGGCCCCCCACTCTGGGCTAGTAGAGAGTGGGAGCTGCCCCCAGTGAGCCCCTGCCCTACATGGGGAGGGCAGCACCCCCAAACAGGCGCAGGGAAACTGCCCTGGGAGATCCAGAGGGGAAAGGCAAGGCCAGGGCAAATATGAGAAGGGGGAGCAGGAAATGGCCCCACATCCCCTGCAGGGTCTCCAGTTGGGCACAGCTGGGAACCCCCATCTAGCCACTTGTGTCGGCGCCCAGGGATTTTTCTGTGCCAAGGGGGGCAGAGGGACAGAGCCCCCCAGCCACATTCCTCTGGCTGCAGCTCCCGGCCCTCGAAGAGCAGGATGTGTCCCCCCCCATAACATTCCTGGGCAGAGGCACTGGGGGAAGGCAGAGCCGAGGCGGAGGGACCGAACGGTTTGTGGGCTCCCTGGAAAGCGGGGGCAGCCGTGCGGGGCGGGAGGAAGCGCGGGAGCATTTCCAGGAAGCCCCCGTGCCCAGCAGCCACTTCCCCAAAGGCTGGGGAGGGGGTGGCAGCGCCCCGGCCCCCCCCCCCACGCCCAGAGGAAGCGGCTCAGCTCTCCCTGCGCTCCGGAGGCTGCGTGACGCAGGCAGAGCCCAGCAAAGCATGAATGGGAGGAGTGGTTTCCTGCCCCCCCTCCCGCCGCCCCCCAGGTGCTGGCGGTTCCTCCTGCTCAGCCCTGGCTTCCTGAATCACCGACCGGAGGAACCTGCGGTGGGCAGGGAGGTGTGGAGTCGCTTCCCACAGCCAGCGCCAGACCGTAGCCCGCCCACCCACCCTCCTCTGCCCCGCTGTGCTTGGCCGAGGGGGCCACAGCCCAGTGCAAGGGGCACCCCGAGCTCCATGGGTGTCTTGGCTCCCCAGTCCATCCCACCCCGGTGTGGAGCTGCACAGCCTCACGAGGAATACCTGCAGCCCTGAGACTGGGACATGCACTGGGACCCCCGGGCTGGGCTGCCAGCACCAGCCCCCTCTCACAGCTCCGCACCCCAGCTGGGATGGGCAGTACCCCACGAGCACCCTGGGGACCCCGGCAGCCTCTGGCACAGGGCTCTGGTCCAAGCTCACCCCCCTGGCCCACAGGGGGTTAAATCAGCCCCCAAAAGACAAGGTCACCCCGGGCAGCCAAGGGCACCCCGGGCAGCCAAGGGCACTGCAGGTCAGTCCCTGCAGGCAGGGCAGCTTGGCCCTTGCCACATCCCCACAGTGTGGGGGGGCACAGCCATGCCCCCACCAACCCCCTGTCTGATCCCTGGCACCACGCAGGGCTCAGCTCCTTCCCCAAATTCAGCGAGGCAGGTTATAGAAGAAAACCCAGAAAACCAGCCCTTAAAAAAACGAATCTGCAGCATCAGCCAGAAAAAGGAAGGAAAGAGTTTCACAGCAGTAACAGAGACGGAAAACAAAGGAGCGGGGCCTGCGCAGCTGGGGGTAAATTCCACCTTCGCGGCAGGAGCCGGCGGCTGCGCGCGCACCCACGGCTCACCCACGGCTCTCCCACCCTGGGAACGCTTCCGCCCCATGGCTGAGACCCCCTGGCAGCGAGGACCCCCCACCCACCCACCTCCCACCCCGCCAACTGCCAGGAACTCCACAGCGATTCAACCGCGGCCCCGCCAACGCCGCCCGCGGGCCCCTCCACACCCCCCTCCCTGGGGCCCGGCGCCCCAGCACAAGGCCACTGAGCAGGGACACGGAGAGGGACACAGAGAGGGCCAGAACACTCGGGCACAGTCAATCCCACCCCCCAAGGATGGCTCCAAGGAGAGGGGGAAGTGCCCTTTGGGCAGGGGAGGGAAGCTGGGCTCTGCAGCCCCAAAAACCCCCAGTGTGGCCTTGCCAGCCCCCTCAACACCCACAACACGGGGCAGATGGGCAGCCCTGTCCCTGCACTTTGGGGTGGGCAGCTGGGGGGGGGGGCTGCAGCCCCACACCCCCAGGCAGGGCCCTGAGCCGCCCAGCTCTGCCACCGACCTGCTGTGTGACCTTGAGTGAGTCACTTCACCTCCCCAGCTCCCGGCTTGTTTGGGCTGCGAGGCTGTGGTGAGGGACCTCCCTGCGCTGCTCAGGGTGACGGTGCCCGCCCCGGGCACCACCCTCAGCATTCCCAGCCCTGCTGAAGCCCTCAGCATTCCCAACCTCAGCGAAGCACCAACGCCAAAGCTTTTGGGAGGGGAAGCAGAGCGAGGCCGCCGCGGTCCTTTTCCCCCACCCCCCGCCTTTGTCTCCATCCTGCCTCGGCGTCCAGCCCCTCACCTGAGTTTCAGTTAAGCTTTCCAGCGCTTGCATCACCGACTGTTCTGGCCTGGACGCCTGGGACTGGAAAAAAAAGGAGGAGGGGGGGGATTAACATTACAAATGCAGCGAAGGAGGGGGCGTCCGCAGCAGGAGGGAGGGATGACATGTCACTTCCACTATTTCTACACAAGCCCTGAGAAAGGAGTGAAATATTAAACCTGCTGCCGTGCCCAGCCCAGTGCTGCCTCCTCAGCGAGGGCTGGGGCAGCAGAGCCGCGGGGCTGCCAGCACATCACATCCTCATCCTCATCCTCGCCCGGGGCTTTAATAATAGACAGGGACGAGTGGGAGGGAGCAGCAGGAAAAGGGCACTCACCATCAATCCAGCCTCCACGGTGGGCACCAGTGTCAGCTTGCTGCCTTCCACGACCCCCAGGTCCTGCAGTTTGCCGGAGCTCAGGCGGCTGTGGGGGAGAGGTACCAAAAGCGGGGTCAGTGCAGGCCAGGCAGACCCCCCGGGGGGACACACGAGGGGGGACACCAGCTGCAAGCCTGTCTGCTCCCAGGGGACCAAGCCCACCCACCCCAAGCAATTCCAACCCCTGACAGGCAGGAGGGGATCTCGGCACCCCACTGCTCAGCTGATCCCCCGAGGGGGAGCTCACAGTGTGGGGCACCCCTGTCCGGGCATGGGGCAGCGCCGACGGGGCTGCAGCCATCGGGGTGAAGGGGTCAGCGAGGAGCTGGGCTGGGGAGGGGGCACGGGGGGCGGCTCCATGGCTTCGTGGCACAGGAAACCTGCCCACGGGGGGAGGCGGTGGGAGAGAAGCTGGGACAAACGTGGGCGGGGGAGGCAGCACTGTGAACGTGCCCCCCCCGACCCCGTGGGTGCCGGCAGATGGACGCGGTGTCCCCGTGTGTCCCCCCTCCGATCCGGGAGAGACTCGCCAAGTTACTCCGGGCTCGGCCCCACGCGGGCCCCGCTCCACGCGGGGGGTGCGCAGCCCCTCGGCCCGAGCCCCCGGCAGACAAAGGCCCCCCCGGCGCTGGGGGCTCGGGGGGGGCCGGACCGCGCCGCCGCCGGGGCTGAGCCCAGAACAAAGGGCCGGGGCACGGCCGGGCCCCGCCGCCCACAAAGGAGCCCCGGCAGGGCCGGGCGAGGGGGCGGCGGCCGCGCTCCGGTCCCGGCCCGGCGCCCCCTCCCTCCACCCGAGCCCCCCCCCCTCCCTCCCTCCGGCCCGGCCCCCGCTCGCCCCCGCCGCGGCCCCCCGGGCTGTGTCCCCCCCCCCCGCCCCGCACAGGAATGGGGCCGGGAAGGGGGAGGGGGCGGGAGCCTTTGTGCGGTGCCGAGCCCGGTGCGAGGGGGCCGCCCCCGCGCCCAGCCCCGCTGCCGGGGGGCTGGGGACCCCGGGCCCCCCGAGCCGCGCCGAGCCCCCCCCGTGACGTACCTCTCTTTGTGCAGCAGCGCCAGCCGCTCCTTGGGCACCTTGAGGCGCTGGGACAGCCGCCGCTTCAGCCCCTCCACCGTCTCTTCGGCGGGCACGGAGAGCTCATAGCGCGTGCCGGTGGTGGTGTGGATGTAGAGGTTCATGGGGGGCTCGGGCGGCCCCACCTCGCAGGCGGGAGCCCCGCGGCTGCAGCTCCTGGCGCCGGGCTGCGGGTCCATCCGCCGACCTGCGGGGGCAGCGGCGGTCGGTGCCGGGGGGCGACGGCGGGACGCGGCGGTGGGGGGGGGGGTTGCGGGAGCGGACAAAGGAGAGAGCGGGGCCCGCTCCGCCGCACGCCCGGCGGGACCCACGGGAGCTCCGGCTGCGCGGCGAGGCCTCGGGCGGGGGCCGGGAGGAGGCGGGGGGCGGCTGTGGGAGTGGGGGGGGGGGGGCGGTAGAAGCGGCGCTGCCCGTCCCTGCTCTGCCCCTGCTCCGCCGCCTCCTTTCTTTTTGCTCGCCGCCGCTCTGTGCTCTCGGAGCGGGGTGTCTGGGGGCGGGGTGAGGCCCGAGGCCGCGGCGAGGGGCGGGGAGGCCGCCTCGCTCCCCCCTCCGTGGGGCCGGACCCGCCGAACCGGCCGCCGCTCGCGCTGCCGTGGGAGCACCGGGGGGGGGAGGGAAGTTACAATGTAGCAACGCCCCCGGGGGGGGCGGGGCCTCGCCCCTCATTCACTCCGGCTCCTCCGGCGGCCGCGGCCAATGGCGGCGCGCCGGGCGCCCAGACATCCGCGGCGGCGGCCAATGGGGGGCGGGCGCAGGCTCCCCACGTGGCCCCGGGGTGGGCGGGGCGGCCCGGCCGGATTCCTCCCGCCCACGCGGCCGCGCGGCCCCGCCCCCCCCGGGCCCCGCCCCCCCGCGCGCCCTCGCGCCGCGCCTGGAGCCATTCATAATCCCGGCGCACAACAAAGGGGCGCGGGGCCGGGAACGGGGGGTCCGGCCGGGAACCCTCCCCCTCTCCGCGGGGGCCAAGGGGCTTGGCGTGCGAGGCCCGGGCGCCGCGGAGGGGTGAACGCGGGACACGGGGGGGCGGCGGCCCCGGAGCGCCGCGGCGGGGGCGGTGAGCGGCCCCCGCACCGGAGGAGGCCCGCGGCGGGAGGTGACTGCCCGCGGGGCCGGGCGGGAGCCGGGAGCCCCCGGAGCCGAGTGACGCGGGGACACAGAGGCGGAAAGGGCGGAGGGGACCCGCACAGTCACCCGCGGCCGGTCACACCCGCCCGGTCACACGCACCCGCCCCGTCACCTTCCTTAGTGACGCCGTTACAGCTACGGGGGAACCGTCCCGACACGGGGCTGAGCCCCCCCCCGCGTCCCTCATCACGCTTCTAGCTCCCCCATCCCCAGTCCCGCAGCGGGGACCTCCACCCCAGCGGCCCCGGCCCCGGCTGCTCCCTCCCGGGGGGCGGAACGGACGCCCCGGGGCCCGGCCCGGCTCCCGCACCGGGGGGGGCCCGGGGGGGGCTATGAGTCAGCAAAGCGCGGGCGCCCTCTGCCGGCCCCGCCGCGCCTCTTGCGCCCGGGGGGGGCCGCGGGGGCCGCACCGGCGGCCGGGGAGCGCTCACCGAGCTGCCCCTTACCGAGCGACCGGGAGGCCCCGCCGCGGTGCGCCCCGGGGCCGCTGCCCGCCCGCCGGGACGGAGCGAACCGGCCCGGGCAGCCTCCCCCGGTACGCCGCTCCCCGGGAAGCGGCGGGGATCGAGAGGGGCGCACCGAGGTCCCGGAAGCCGGAGCGAGAGGAACCGACCCAGCTCCCGTTCCCCCCAGGGCAGACAAAGCCCCGACTGACCAGGGACACGCTGGGTCCCGGCGGGTGGGCAGAGCTCCCGGACGCCCCGAGCGGGGCTCTGCCGTGAGTGCCCCCAGGAGCCCCGGGGAAACGGGGCCGCCCCGCCCGCTCCAGGGAAAGCAGCCTAGTGAGCGCGGTCCCGGTCCGCGGATCCCCCCCGCACCCCGACCTGGGCTCCCCCCGGCCCGGCGCGGCCCCACTCACCGAGCGCGGCCCCGCGGATCCCGGCGCGGCGGGAGCTCAGCTGCCTCCGGCGGCAGGAAGAGGGAGAGAGACCCCAAAAACGTCCCGGGGGGAGGTGGCGGTCGGTGCGGTGTCCCCTGCCGAGCGCTGCAGCCGGTCCGAGCGCAGCCCTGACGCGGAGCTGCCGGGGAGGTGCCCCAAGTTTTATCCCGCACCGCCCGGGGTGGAGCCTGGCGGGGGCAGGGACCGGGCAGGGACCGGGCTGGCCCCGGCGGCGGCCCCGGCGGTACCCGCACCTGCTCCCGCGGGGGGTTCCGGCCCTTGCCCCCGGGTCCCAGTCTCAGTCCTGCCCCAGGAGTCCCAGACTCTGCCCCCCGTTTCGGATCCTGCTTCTGACCGTCTCCCTGATCCCGGTCTCAGCCCACCGGGGACGTCTTGGCTCCTCCCGGGGTCTCGGCTCTGCCCCACCGGGGCTCCCGGTCCTGGCGCTGCCCCTGCTCCTCGCGGGGCCGCTGCGGGCAGGGCAGGGGGGACAGCCCGCCGTGGGGCGGGGACAGACCAGGCACCTCTCCCGGTCCGGGTGCCCCCTCATTAGGGTCAAAGGCAGTCCGCGGGCAGAGAATGGATGGGCTGAGCTCTCCTTGGGAGCTGAATGTCAAAGCTGCTGCTCGTGGAGACTCGATGTCTAATATCGAGACTCTCTGATGTCTAATAACAAGGTTGGGCTGGCCCTCCCTCCCCCAGGGATTCCCTCTGCCCAACCTCCCACTGCCCAGCCAGGACACGGATTCAGCCCCACAGGGTTTTTTGAAGCAGAGGAGAAGTGGTCTGGTGGGCACCAGTGCTGGGGGGCAATGCCCCGGGGTCACGGGGTGGAACCCGGTTCCCCCCAGGCCGCGGTGTGCGGGGCCGGCGGCCGCCCCGCCTGCACAGGGAGGTGCTCGTGACCTCGGGCTGCCTCGCCGGGTCTCTCTCTCGCAGACAATGCCCTGGCACACCGAGACACAAAGCAGCTGGAGGGGGGATCTGGCGGCCAGTCCGCAGCGGGGAGGGGGCCGCACGCCCTGACCCACGAGGCAGCGGTGCAGGGGCCCGGTGGGAGCCGAGGGGGGGCTCATTGCAGCCCCAAAATGCTGCCGCTGCGCCCCTCCCGCACAGCCTCCCCCGGGGTGGGTGCAGATGGCTGGGTGGGATCGAGGCCCCTCATGCGCGAGGCGCAGAGCTGGGCTGGGAGGGACCCTTTGTGGCTCAGCCTGCAGCCCCCCGCCCACCCCGGCCCCCTCCGGGCTCTCAGGGGGGAGATGAGCTCAGGCGGCTCCAGCTCCGGCTCCTGCCATTGTTGTCCCTGGGAGAGGGGCCGGGGCAGGGATGCGCCATTGTTCTCCCCGGGAGCTGTGGAGCTCCGGGCCTGCAAAGCCACCCCTCAAGGGGCCACATCCCCAGCTGGCTCCCCAGCAAGGAGAGGGGGCAGCCGGGGCCACAGGTTTGGCCCTGCCACAGTTTGGGCTTGTGCACCAGGAGGGGGGCCACGGTGGGGACAAGGTGTCAATCCAGAGCCACCCCTGCTGGGAGCAGGGTCCAGCCACCAGCCCCTGGCTCCCAGCCCGGTTCTGTGGGGAGGGACAAGGAGACATCACAGCCATGGCTGTGAGCGTGGCCTGCTTGGGTCCATTGGCAGAGCGGCCGTGCCCCAGGGGCAGGGCATCTCCCCGTGTCCTGGCAGCTCTGAGGAGCCCCTTTCCCAGTTGCCACCCTCCTCACATGGCTCCATCTCCTTCCCGGGAGGAAGCTCATCTCCCCTGGCAATCCCACGACTCCAGGAGATGGTGCTTTAGGAAGCGTGTGCAGATTTCAGTGTGGTTGAAGGTATCCGGAGCCTCCAGAGACGCAAGCTGGGAGATCCCAGGATTCCCAGCAGCCCAGATTTTGTGTGTTTAGTTTATTGTGTTGCCCTGGGAATAAATCGTTAAAGATTACAGGCAGACTCGGGCATAATTGCTACACGGCATCCGAGGCTCCCGCGTCTCCAGAGGGAGCGTTCTCCAAACCCCGCACGGCTGAGCAGCTCCGGGAGAGACAATCCGACGAGCAAATACCTACACAAATCCCGCTGCAGGCCACACGCAGCTCCCGCAATCCTCTTAGCTAACCTGGGCCCCGGGATTAGCCCCCGCGGCGGCTCACGCACCCGGCCGGCGGCGCGGGCTGGGCCGGACGACAGGGGCTTACCCAGGTCCCACCGGGACACTTCCCACGGAGCCTGGCCCCTGGGCACGTCCCGGTGCCAGGGCAGAGACGGGACAGCACTGCAGTGTCAGCTCCTCTGTGTCCCATCCCACAGGCCCCAACTCCGGCTGGGAGCCCCAAATCTTTTGGGGGCTGGTTCTTGGAAGTCCTCTGCCTCGAAGGAAGGGAATTCCCAGCCCTCCTTTGGGGAAATCCCCCACAAGCCCCGGGCAGCAGCTTTTCTCTTTTCTCTCGGTTTTTTGGGTTTTTTTTGTTTTTTTTTTTTTTTTCCTTTTGGACTGAATTCCTGGCTGATTCCACAGCTTTGGCAAACGGGGATTTTATCGCAAGTCTCTGCATTCCCCTCGCAGGCGTGGGGTCATGGGATTAGGGCAGAGCTGACGCTGGCTCCAGAGCAGGGAGAGGAGGGGAGAGGAGGGAAGAGGGGGTGTTTCTGCCTCCTGTGGCTGCAGAAGATGCCAGGCTGCAGCCTGGGGGGACCCAGGATGGACAGGGACCCTTTTCTTCCCTCAGCCCCCAGCCTGTGAAGGGGAGTGATCCTATGGCTGCAAAAGGGCTCCCGGGCTGTGCAGTGCCCGGCTGGGGCCTCATGTGGAGCTGCCGCAGTGAGTGGGAGCGTTCCCACGGGCACGGGGCCAGCGGCCGGGATCATGCGGGGCACACCCCGGCAGGAGGGTGCAGCCGAACCGCTGCACCTCCACCCGCCCGGCCCGGCCCACCGGGCACCGCCGGGACCACCACGGTGGGAGTGGTGCAGGGCTGGGGGTCCCAGCACCCCCTCCCCGTCCCCCCAAACCCCACGGGGCCGAGCGGCTCAGCCTTAGTCACGGCGGCGAGCGGTGACTCAGTCGCCCGGCGCGCTCAGGTGAGCCATCGCTGCTGCCGTGAGTAAGGAGCTGCTGATCCCACCCTCCTGGCACCGCGCCGGGCACGGGCCCCCCCTGGAGCCCCCACCGGAGCCCCCCATCTCGCCAGGCTCGGGGTGGCCTCGTTGCGGGCGCGGGTGTCCTTGGGCAGGACGGCCGTGCCTGTGCCCGTGACGCTGGCGGGGCTGTAAACACCCAGGCGTGTCCTTAGAAACACACAACCGGCTCCGTGTGTTCCCAGCTCTCGGGGACGTGTCCTGGTGGCCTTTGGCAGCGTGTCCAGGCGTCGCAGCCTGGGGACAC